CTACTGGTAGTTAGTGTGAAGCAATGATGAATACGAACGGGATATAGTTGGTGTTATTGAAACGCACTCTTGCTTTTGCCGACCGTTTGGTTGAGTCTCGAGTAATCTCGACTAGCAACGAAAATAGGATGGCACCAGAACACGAAACACTTTTATATGCGGCTCAGAGCGAGCTTATGTTAGCTTTGAACCACGCCTTCAATTGCTTCATCGCTCGCGGATAGATGAAGCATGAACATCGTCGCATACATAGACATCGTGGTGGTGGATCTATTTGCATAAGTAAGCATGAGCACCAGAAGAGGTACAGCAGCACATACAAGGAAAGCATCATGCTTAGAACTAGCCATATATACTCAGCTAACATTCAACATACACAGATAAAACATCATATCATCATGTGTGTTGATCGCAAGTGCTTCAATGCTTCTGCAATCAACCCTTTGGCATTTCCAATAATAAATCACTCATGATTAGACCATACCCAATATCACCGTTTCAGTTTCCTTTCTTTCCTCACCGCACTTACTTGTGCATTTTTCTGAAATCGCCCGAAGTGACCACCAGCAACGTTACGTTCCCCAATCTCCTCATATCCTTTCATTTACTTCATATACGAGAACATCATAACGTTGACAATTACTGCGATGGAATCATTGAATAAATGATCTCATGGATGAATGTTACTTAATTTAATGAATGAAGAATGATCTTTAATAAGTTTTACAATCATTCACGGCAGTTTTATGTGCACTCGTATTTGCTTGCTGAACTTTTACTGGATCGTGTTGGTTGAAGAAATAATCCTAAGAAATAATTTGAGGCCATTCAAACTAATATTATAAATCAACGAACTCGCTCGTTAATTTCGACTATAATTTGGAGATCGTGAAATTGATTGAAAATCGTTGGTTATCATTCATTTGCTCAATATTATCTATCTTTTCAGTTATCAGCACCATCTGACGCTTGTTAATCTCTTCTACAATCGTTACTGCTGTTTATCACGTTCGTATCATTCTCGCTAGCACTATCAGCATTACTATTACTGGTATTGATGATCACCTGATCGCTCTACCGAACACGAAACTTGACTTGTGGCATTTCCTAGTTCCGGAACACATCCATAACCGCAAAAGTAACGTAACACAATGTCTGGTCGTGGAAAAGGTGGCAAGTCGAAGGCTACTGGCAAGAGCAAAACCCGTTCATCACGTGCCGGTCTTCAGTTCCCGGTTGGTCGTATTCATCGCCTGCTGCGGAAAGGCAATTATGCGGAACGAGTCGGCGCCGGAGCGCCAGTCTATTTGGCTGCGGTTTTGGAGTATTTAACGGCCGAAGTGCTCGAGCTGGCCGGCAATGCGGCACGTGACAACAAGAAGACCCGCATCAATCCGAGACATTTGCAGTTGGC